ATATACAAGGATTATATATACAGATACGGCGAATGACGACCATCGACGGAGAGCGTCGAAGGCAGGCGTCGTTTGAATATGAGACTTGTTGGACGTGTTGGATCTTCTTGACGTTGTACTGTTGTCGCTGTTCGGTTGGAACTGTCTTCTTTTTGCCCTCACCCTTCTTTTAACCCCAAGGGTGGCTAGGGTGAACAAAAGCGCGTGTTATCCGACCGACGATGGGCTGCTTCGAAAGCCCCGCTCTAATTGGCTGCGACCGGTCTCGAACCCCAGGCGAACCGGAGAACGAATTTGACACTTTCTTTGTTCTCCAGGGGTATAAAGGCAGCCACAGAAGCCGTAGCCATCAGTGAAGCAAGAGAAGAGCTCAACAAACAACCTATTACGCCATTTTAATTTCTTTGTATATATTGTATTATAGTGTGTTAAATATAGTTATATTTTTAATTTTTTTATCGATGTTTCAATAATCCGACGACCACTCAAAAGCTCCGTCACGAGTTACTGGTGAGGGTCTAGAGGTAACCTCAGCCGACTTTCCAACCCGGTAACACGCGCTTTCAGTTTTAGGTCCTACACTTACTCGCGAGTTACGACCTNCGGGACGAAGGTCATTGACGTGTACCTTCGTCGGTTCTGCTGTCCGGGCTCTCCTGATCCAATAGGTTGTTGGACCTGCTTCCTCAATTACCATGTGAGGCCCTGTCCATCTGGGACCAAATGGAGCCAACCTTTGGTGGGTTCTTTCTAGCACTTGCTGGCCAGCCACGAACCTAATAGGCGGTGGGTTTCCTCCGGCGTATCGTTGCCTGTACCGGTGTTCATTCAAGTGGGCCCTGCGCCTTCTTGCCTCTCTTTCCCTTTCCCCGTCAGCCTGTGCTTGGCCAGGTGGAGCATCCGTAAACCACTCGCCTGGTCGAAATAGTTCGTAGCCGAAAAGTAACGCTGCCGGTGTTTNTTCAACGAGGAAGGCAGACGGCCTGATTTTTTGGCTGCCGCCTCCGCGAGGGAGGCGGAACTGACCGGACGTGGCAGTTTTGTCGCCGCCTTCAAAGTGGAAGGCGGGCTGCATGACGTTTTGGCTGCCGCCTCCGCGAGGGGGGCGGAACTGACCAAGCGTGAAGATTTGGTCGCCGCCTTCAACGGGGAAGGCGGACGACTTGACGATTCGGTTGCCACCTCCATGGGGGAGGCGGAACTTACCGAGCGTGGAGGTTTCGTCGCCGCCTCCAGCGGGGAAGGCGGACGGCTGGAAAGAACAGGAACCAACTTCCCGTTCTTGTCAACAATGTGTGTGTCGACCAAGCTTGCTAGCAAGCTAAAGTCTTCACACGATACGGATGTGCCTTTTCCAAATTTAAAAGGCATTTCTGCCGATTAAAAATGAGGCAACAACTCACTTTCCCTTGCAGGAACAAACCCTAAAAAGGGCGCTCTCAGTTTCGAAAGAAACTTACCTACTCCGGATTACCCTTTGACGAGGTCACCCAAGTAGAATATGAACCTTCCACCTTCCTTCGCTTTCGCAGCAGGTCGGACGAATTCTTCAACTTCTCTCCAGGCGATGTTGCACTCCTCAAGACACTACACGGACTCTCTTCGCCCGCTGATGGAAACCCGGCCGCCTTAAATAGGCGCCCTTAGGTAAAACCCTATCAACCGGGCGTTGTGGTTGGTTGGCGACCGTCCGATCCGTAGGTAGGGTTGACGACCAATGGCCAAGCAGATCGAACGGCGCTCAATTCGTACTTGGTGACAACTGCAAATAGTTGGTTAGGGTGGCATTCAGAGAATTGCTATCTGTAATAGAAAGAATATAATATATATTTTAATTATGTTTATTCGACGAGCCGGGTTTCATTTACGTTTTTATTCACAAATTACGACAAAATTGAGAATATTATTGCTAGTAACAAATAAAGCATTTAAATACATATTTTATTGAATTTAGGTAAAGAGAAGAAAACGATTGTTTACGCAAATATAATTTTTCATACCTTTTTGATCTTTCCAAAGTAATGCTTAAAAAAAAGTTCACTATGTACATATAATATGTAATTATCAAATTATATCTCAGGATGATAAATACAACTTTTTTAAATCGGATATTATTATTCTATTTAAATTAACTAACATATTCTGTTAACAATAATACACTGTTGGAAATAATTCACGAGCACACCCTCTATAATCTGAACGCGTGTGTCTAGCGGAATAAAATTTTGTATGGAAGTAGTACTAAAGTAGTGTAACTTACTCTCACATGGAGAGCGGCACAACTCTGCTGGGAGGAGAAACATCAATAGCGAGGGTATCCCCCGTGAGCTTCGCGTACCATCGCTACACGACGTGGCATGAAGTCTATAAGTCGCTGTATTGTAGCGAGCGGGATGGCCAACCATGCCACCTCAACTCGCCTCCATAGCTCCTCAACGTTAGCCGAGGAAGCCGGATAACGTAGAAGTCTCTGACCAGTCATGTCCCAAACCGAGCTAGCCATGGAAGCATTCGTATATTGCTCTTCCACAAAGGTCTGTACAACACGCCCGATGTGCTGTCGTACGTTATCGTGCATGTATAGCAGACCTGGGAGTCGCCGAACGTAGGGAAGCACAACGGACCGTAGCACCTCATCTACGTATCGTTTACCAATCATGGTCTGCTATACACGCAGCATACGTGTACGTCCACCATATGTAATTGCACCCCATACCATAATGCTCGGTTGTCGGTGGATAGGGCGTTCTTGCACACACTGCTCGAGTAGACGATCACCACGGCTCCGACGAACTAAAATTCGCGCATCACCGGTGCTCAATTCGAATCTTGATTCGTCGGAAAACAAAATATCCCTCTACTCGACAATCTACTAATGCCTAGCGTCGACCCACCCTTGACGTATGCTGCGGTGCTCGGGTGTTACTGGAATCTGCTGTATCCCACGACGCGCGCGCAGTCCACTATCTACCAAACGCCGCCGTACAGTTTGCGTAATGAGTGCGCCTTCCTCTGCCGGTGGCCAAACAGCTCCAAGTTGCCTTGAGGAGGACACACACGACGCTAAAGCGCTGAGCACAAGAGCGCGATCCTCGTGTGCTAGGGACGCGCAGGGCCGTCCTGGCCACGGCTGAAGGTACCTATGTCCTACCTCAGACCATTCGCGCCATGCCCGTTGCACCGCCGATAACGACCGCTCGAGACGACGCGCAATTTCACAGAACGATACACCCTCAATGTGCATACCCACAAACATTCCTCGCTCAAACTCGCTTAAGTAACGCGATCGCCCATCCATTGTGCACAGAGTACTATAACAATCTGGTTCCTCACACCACACTAAAAACGACCTGTATTTTCCATCCACTTCGGTCTCCATAGCGACGGAATGTTCCACTTAGAAGGGCGGCTCAGTCAACAATGCCGCGACGGAATAACTCAAAACTCCCTGAATAAACTCGTCTACAGTAAACCTTTGTGCTCCGCAAGTATTATGGATTTATCTTCACGCGTTCAGATTATATAGGGTGTGCTCGTGAATTATTTCCAACAGTGTACTTAAGATCATGTTTTCCTGCATACCCGGGACTTCGTATGACCATACCGACAGCATTTATGGCATTGCACCACTGGTGCTATATACAGGTGGTCCATTTAACGTGAGACAAGCAATTGTCTCGAAAACGGGCCATTTTACATAAAAATGAACTAAATTAAAGTTGTGCATATGAAGGTCACGGCCAATTTTTTAAATGGCACCCTATGTTTTTGATTGCAAAATCAGAATCTATGGATAGAAGCAAAATAATGAAAAAAAAATTACCGTGTGGTTTTGCCAGTACGACGGCGAAACATCTTTTGTAGACAACATCTAAACAATTTTTTTATTCAAATAGTTTTAAATATTGTTTATTTATTAAAAAATGATTAAACTATACTATTAATAAACAACAAGTATAAAATTTATAATAAATGTTCCAATATTTCCCCACTCACTTCAATACATTTATTAAGGTGTAAAGAAAGTTTTAGTAGAAAGGTACTAAAACTTTCTTTACATCTTAAACGGTTTTCTTAGCTACTATTTCTGCACGCATTACTTATCCGCTCTTTCATGTTTTCTGGCGTAGTCTCGGTACTTCGCGATAATCATTATCTTTAAGGTCGCCTCACAAAAAAAAATCACGAGGTGTTAAACCAGGTGATCTGGCAGGCCGGGAAATTAGACCTCCCCTTCCAATCTATCACCCAGCATAATCCCGAGCTTCACGTGTAATATGTGAAAAATGTGCTGACCCATCATTTTATCACCACATATTTTGTCTTTCTTCCCTACTCAAATCTACAACTAACGTTGGTTAGACGTCATCTAAAAAAATTCGGTACTTCTCCCCATTCAGCATACCATCAGTAAAGTATGGACCGATCAATTTATCACTAAATTATGCTACACCAAACATTAACCGACCAAGGTCGTTGATGTTCTACTTCACGCAACCATCTCGGATTTTCAACGCTCCAATAGTGCATGTTATGTCTATTGACTTGTCCTTTGTTTGTAAAAGTAGACTCATCCGAGAATAGCACGTTATCAAAGAAATTGACGTCCAACCGCATTCGTTCTGGTGCCATAAAGCTGTTGATGCAATGAAATGTGGTATGGGTGATATTTGTTGCGTTTTAATACTCAGTTGCAATTCGTCAATTGCAAGACGTCGAGTGCTAACTTGAGGATTTACCTCAACGCTAGCTAATACCGCAATTTGTTTTTCTTCTTCCACATTTCCAGTGTTAGTGAAATCATTCATAACTCTGTGGTATTTCTCGAAGGCGTATTTCGATCAGGAAAACGTTCTTATAAAACCGCTATATAACAATGTTGTATATATTGTATAATGATTTTAAGCAAATTTTACTGGAGTTTACATTGCGTTTGAAAAGTGCGATATAAAATAGTTATGTTACAGTGATATTTTGTCGGTGGTTAAAGCTTTTATACAGGGTGATTCGGGAGGAAATGGAAAGATTTTAAGGACATGTCTAGGAAGCTAAAATAAGCAAAATAAGCCCATATGTTCAAATCCGATTTTCATTTGTTTGAGATATTTTGAACAATAATAATTTCAAAATTAAAGCAAAATTTATTACTAAACTAACAAACCAAAAAAACAAGTAGCATTAATTCACATTAAATTTTCGAAAACTCCACCACCCACTTCGATACACTTATTTGCGCGTTTATAAATGGACCTGGTAGCCAGTTTCAGTGAACGATGATTCGCTCTAATGAACGCCGCAGCATTAAGAATACGATCTAGTAGCGCATCCCTTGTGTCCACTTTCCTAGCATAAACTAAGGACTTCATCCATCCCCAAAGACAAAAATCTAGGGGAGTGAGGTCCGGTGATCTCGGTGGCCAAGGGTGCGGGCCTCCTCTGCCAATCCAGCGATCGCCGAAATGCGTATTTAGAAAATTCCTCACATTATTTGAATAATGAGGGGGTGCTCCATCATGTTGGAAGATCATACGTTGTCGAATATTCAAAGGTACATCGTCCAATATTTCCTCTAAATGGTCTTCCAAAAAATGTAAATAACCTTCCCCAGTAAGACGGCCATCCAACACAAAAGGACCAAACAACTGATCATTTAGAATGCCGCACCATACATTAATACTAAACCGATGTTGGAAATTGTGTTCTTGCGTGGCATGGGGATTTTCGTCCGACCATCGATGATTATTATGGTAATTGTTAATTCCATCTCGAGTAAATTGAGCTTCATCAGAAAATAATATGCATTTAAGTAATCTTCTGTTTTCACGAATCCATTGACAAAATTGTAGTCTTAATGGATAATCGCCTTCTTGGAGATTTTGTACTTTCTGCAAATGAAAAGCGTTTAAGCCTTGCCGCTTTAATGTTTTCCAAACCATTGTTTGTGGAATTTCAAATTGTATTGCCATGCGCCTTGTACTTATCCCTGGATTATTTTCTACAACATCCAGAATATTTTCTTCATGTTCCAAACTGAGCCCTTGCTGTTTTTCAGAAACAATGCTTGCACTTGGGAACATTCCACTTTCGCCAGCACGTGTAAAAACAGTTTGAAACACTTGCCTATTAGGAATTCTTCGATTCGGAAAACGACGTCGATACTCTTCTACTGAACGAACAGTATTACCATTACAAAAACCATAAACAAACACCATATCTGCATATTCTCTATGACTGAAAATGTGAGGCATTTTTATTATTTCGTAACAATTACAACTATCACTTTAATTAACATTTTGTTTCAAATTGTCATATAGGATAACGTTGTCAAACATAACTTGATTAACTTTTTAAAAAGAAAAACCTAATTATCTCGGAAACAAATGAAAATCGGATTTGAACATATGGGCTTATTTTGCTTATTTTAGCTTCCTAGACATGTCCTTAAAATCTTTCCATTTCCTCCCGAATCACCCTGTATAGCTCCCAAAAAAGAAGAATGATCTGTATTCACACAAACACGTTATGATAGATCCTACTACAAAATAGAAAGGCTTTAAATTAATATTGACCGTGTGGGACGTTGTCAATTTAAGTACACACACATTTAAGAGGATGTCAGATTTACTAAGTCGATGGAAGAAAATTAAAAGAAGTGAAAATATGTTAGGGGAAAATCCTAAAAGGATATTAATTGAAAATTCAGGGACACAATTAAATACAACAACTCATTGTAAACCACAAACAAAGGTCGCTACAGTACAGAATGATTCACCGAGTCTAAGAGGATGCAGTGACTACGAAAAGGCAACCGAGAGTTTGTTAGTTGAACTATAATCTAACGGTAACAATGATTTAGAAACATTAGAGCTCAATAAAAAGGTAACATTTAGAAGTGATATAAGAAAATGGGCAGTTCAATATCACATATCTCACTTAGCACTAAGAGACTTTTTCATATCATAAATCAGAATTTTCCAATTGTACTTCCTCAAGATCCCAAAACTTTGTTAAAAACTTATCTAACTATTACGATGATAAAAGTAGGGAATGGGCATTATTGGCATAAGGGTTTTGAATGTGCATTAAAGCAAATTGTTTCCCAAATGTCAGACCCTCCAGCCTATATATTTCTGTAAATATTAATTTAGATGGATTACCTATATACAAAAGTAGTAGAATTGAATTTTGGCCGATATTGTTCAATATTCATGAATTGCCTGAAGTGCGACCAATGATCACTGGTATTTATTGTGGCAAAGGAAAACCCGCTGATTTGTCGGCTTATTTACAACCTTTTACAAAAGAAGCAAAGGTAATATTATCAAAAGGTTTAATAATCGATAATAAGAAAGTTATAGTGAAATTAAGATGCTTTATATGCGATTCGCCTTCTAGAGCTTTTGTGAAAGGTAAGACTGAAACATTAAATAAATGAAACACTAAATATTTCTAAAAAAATACCATAACAATTTACTTTTTTATGATAAAATATGTTTTTCTGCAGGTGTTGCAAACTTTAATAGCAAACAAGGATGTCTTAAATGTACCACAATAGGTGAATATTCTTATATATCTCATACTGTCTATTTTCCAACATCAGGATGCAAGAAAAGAACAGATGCTGCTTTTCGCAAAAAAGCATATGGTTCACATCACAAACAAGAGACTCCACTAACCTCGCTAGATATAGATATGATTGAAGACTTTCCAATTAGTGATTCTCTTCATTTAATTGATTTAGGTATAATGAAGAAGTGTTTATTGGGTAGGAGAGATGGTAGTTTTGGCAACTATAGAAGTAAATGGTCTGCAAGGAAAATTAGCTCTGTTTCAAATTTCCTGCAGAACTATAAAATGCCTTCTGAAGTTCATAGAGCTGTTCGTGGTTTAGACGTTTTATGTCACTGGAAGGGTACAGAGTATCACACATTTTTGCATTATCTTGGAACAGTGATACTAAAAGACGTATTATCTTTAGATATATACGAACATTTTTTGAAATTATTTTGTGCAATAACTATTTGCTCATGTAATACCTACAAATGTTTTCTGACGTTAGCTCAAACGCTACTTGAAAGTTTTGTAGAGGACTCTGCCGATATCTATGGAGAAAATTTTATTACCAGCAAAAGTACACAATCTCACACATTTAGTCGATAAAGTTCGAAGAATCGGACCTTTGCCTTCTTGTAATGCTCATCCTTTTGAAAATAGATTATATTTAATCAAGAACTTGTTAAGAAACGGAAATTTGCCAGTGGCACAAGTAGCGAAACGTATGAGTGAAGTTATACATTGTGAAATGGATTATTTCAGATTTAACAAAAATTTAACTTTTCCAATACTCAAAGAAAAAAGTGAAGAAGGATTCTTTATTAAAATTGAATTTAATGGGTATTTTTTATCCACAAGAAAGCATGATAAATGGTTCTTAGACTTTGATAATAATATTGTAGCTATGAAATGTGCCTTACTAGTAGATGGGAAAATAATTATAAGAGGTAACGTCATTTGTGACTTGAAAGATAGTTTTGAAAGACCTATCAAGTCATGTTACCTAAATATTTTTAAATCAATTTCTACTGATTCATCGTACATCAAAACCTGTCCAGTAAATAATATAAAATGTAAACTTGTAACCATAGAGTATAAAACTGAAGTTGTACCTATTCTACATACTTTACAAAACAAAACGATAAATATTTCGCTTAAATTTATTTAGATTATTCTACATCTTCACCTCTCTCACAATCCATCATGCTTTCTATGTCTTTCATAACCTATAATTAAAAAAAGCTATAGTAGTATAGTAATGCCGGTTCTGGACCGGAAATGGCTCCGGCTCCCGCGTCACGTGTGACGTCACAGATGGTGTGGCGTAATGTATGACGTCATGGAGTGCGCCATCTGTTGGAGAGTGTCGGCGGTGTGGGTAATGTAGGTTTCTGTTGTGGTGGGGGTGAAGCACCTTCCGGCCCGCGAGTGCATGCAGGCGCCTACCGGTGGGGCGGTGTGGATGGGTTAGATTAAAATGAATTAAGTAAATAACAGTTAAACAATTTTATTTAATACAATCTAAAATCATTGTTGAGAAAATCATACAATTTTGACGCATGGCAGTTGGAAAAAATATACAACTATAACTAATGGTAATAAATATAATTATTACCATTATTGTAGTATCCTACAATTTCTTTTCTTCAAATTTTTTTTAACATTACCCCTAATATATTTAAACAGATTAACGACACTGAACCTCTGATGATCGAAGATGCATCTTTCATCGCTGTGGTTGTTGTAGATTGATCTTGTTTTGCGGAGGTGCCTCCTCCTTTCTTAGAATTTTTAAGTTTAATACTTACTTTAGGATCTTCCTCCATAGGTTCTGAACCAATACTAACTGTCTTCAACCGGAGTAGTTGATAATGAAAATTATTTATATTTCGAATATCAGCTGTATAGGCTCTTTATAAGGATCCCGACACTGAATTCGCCCATAGACAGTGCCACAATTTACTATTTTCCACCACGCATATTTGTGTAAGGAAAAATATGACTGGACGAACTTTTTCAGGTTCTTTAAAAAAAAAGTTTTTGATGCAGAAACATTTTTTTCGTCAAATAATCGAACCGTTAAATTTACAATCTGTCGTTCAAGTGACGATGGGAAAATTACTTTGTCCGAAAGAGTAGGTGCTAATTTTAAAATACTTTCTTTTTCAGATAAATACAATAATTTTATAAGGGAGAAGGGAGCAGGCTGTATTTCATATTCGTTTTGTTAATTTAACACAGGAATGAAAAAGGTTTTGTCAGAATCTTTCAGATTTAACCAATTATTCTTAATTCTTTTAAATATATGTACCGTATCAAATAAAATAAATATTTTGTTATTTTCATCATAAGGATTTTGGAAGGAAGATAAAAGGTTCTTCCATTTAAAAACCCAATCATTTTTCTATTAACAGAATTGTTATCTGAAATAACTGTAATTGTAATATAGCCTATATCTGTTAGAATTCTGAGGACTTCTTTTAACATTTCTAATAGTAAGGGAGCTTTTAAAGTTTTTATTGGGTACATAGCAACAATATCTTTGTTTTTAGAAAGAACAGATGTAATCATGAACGCTTGTACCATTGATGGTACTTCTTTTTTGTCAGTACAAAAGCCTCGCAATTTACCACCTTTATAAGATATATCACCTTTAATATAAATTTCATCCAACATAACATTTACACATTTTTCATGGTCCTTGAGCAACGTATTGAAGAATTCGCACCTTATTCTTTATTTCCAACTTCACGTACAACATCTTCAAATATACCGGGTGTGGTAAAATGACATAATGACATGACCTTAAGTACGGAGTGGGGAAGCATTACGGCCTTTTATTTTACGTAGGTCTCGGTAGGGTGCATAACCCCTGCTAGCAGGTTAACAACGCATTTACCAACAATATCCGTAGTCTCATTGGCATTTATGCAAATGTAGTTGTCTAACAATTTATTTTTGATAGGTTCCATCACCTTAGTATATACTTTAGGTAGATAAAACCTACGTAAAGTCGATCATCAGGTACAATTACATTATTTAACTATTATTTAGAGTTTTTTTATTAAAAAAACGTTTTAGTGAGTTTTGAGCGACTTGTTACATCTGCCAAATAACATACATAACAACATTGTGAAACAAATACATAATATTGAGTGATGTGATCGGCCACATACTGAAAACATAAACGTTTTCTACTTAACCCTATAATACTAACCATAGAATATAACACTTTATTACTAATCATACGTAAAATTTACGTAGATATGTAAAAATAAATAAATAAAACATTTTGCTAAGAATAATTTTTGTTTATTATAACAAAAAATAATTTGTAAGCTTATAAAGCAATAAAAAACGAAATCCTAAACTGACAAACAATTGACTTGGTTGCAGGGTTTCTCGTCATTTGCCATTCACGTCGCAGGCTGTTTTTCTGGTTTATAATAGATTGGATTTTTGATGGCGGGAGATAATTATCAAACTGCGGTTTACATTTGGGGAATGATGATTGTTTTATACAAATATTGATTGTTTCTGTGAGAAGCTGTACACTTTGGTCAATTGACTTTTGGGTATTTAGACTGTAGTCGTTATTATTGAAGGTATTCTCAAGTGCGCCTTTAAACAAAAGCCAGTTAGTTACTAGTTTGTTGTTATTTTTGGTAAGACACGGTGAGGTTTTGAACGATAAAATCATAGGAAGGTGGTCTGAATCCAAATCTACCACCACTTCTTGATTTATTAATTTATTGAAATTTTTAGTCAATACGACGTCTAGAATGTCGGGTTGGTAATCATTTCTATGTGGATAGTATGTGTATGTATTAGGTGCGTGCACCATGAAGTTGTATATTGAGGACAAATTTAATAGTTTAATTCCCGCTTGGTTATTAGCTCTACATCCCCAAGCTGTGTTCTTACTGTTTATGTCACCCAACATCAGAATTTGGCGGTTAGTATTGAAGATTGATTTTATATCCTCCTCAATGAGGGGTTTATTGGGTTGCTTGTAAGCACTAAAGATGTTAAGGGTAGAGTTATCAGTAAGTGTAATTTCTATACCGATAATTTCAATATTACTGCAGTTAACTAATAGGAGTTGTTGATTCGTGAACTTTTTTTTAATTAATACAGCCACCCCTCCAAGCTATGCGATTATTTCTGTCCTTACGATAGATTTTGTAACCTGGAATTGTGAAATTCTCATTTAGAGCCAGATGTTTTGGAGATCGTATAGAATTATATTTGCGTTATTAATCATTTTTCTGGAGAATATTGGAGAGGTTTGTTAAAATTAATGTTTTTAATTGGTGCAGAAGCGGTTGTAAGTATGAAAGTATGGCAGATATTATGGTATTAACGATGGGATCAGTTGAGGAAGTTGTAGGTTCATTTGAATTTTGTGGTGGATTTGTATTTTTAATTGCATTTGCGTAGGTTTTATTGGGATTATTAGAAGAATTGGGTAGGATTGAGTTGGGTTGTGCACTTAAGGATGGAGTGGTTAATTCGTGCCGTCTTTGTCGACTTGTGGTAGGTTTGTTTCAAGAATTAATTTGTTCTAGATAGTATTTACATTCCCTGTAATTAGCTGGGTGATTTTCATTACAGTTAACACATTGAGGTGGATCGCTAGTAGGTTTCGGACATTCATTAGTTAAATGATTTTCTTTACATTTGACACACCTTGGTGGCATTGCGCAGTAATTTTTGGTATGACCGTATCGTTGACAACGATAACATTGTGGAACAGAGCGAGAAGCGCGTCTGGCTTCTACGGTTACAATAGTGTGGTCAAGTTTATTCAACTTGAAGATTTCTGATGCTTTTTCGGTCACCGTGAGTTCGATAGCGCATATGGGTATTGCTATCTTATTTTTGTTATACAATCTACTTACTTTTAATACTGGGAAACCTTGTTCGATTAGTAAATTTGTTATTTCTTCTTCTGTCAGTGACGGGGGAATATGTCTGATAACCACCGAAAGTGGTTTGGAATCTGGGTTTCTATAGGTGTAGTGGTCTATTTTACTGGTTTTATAATGGTTAATTAAGGTCTGAAAATCATCTTCAGTGGTTATGTTTATTTTAGTTGTATCAGTGGAATAATGTATTGTGAATTCACATTTTACTAATTTTTTTATATCCTTAAGAATTTCTTGATGGTTAAAAGACCCTTTTAGAAATATTGGTGGAATTCGTTTAATTTTTAATTTTAATTTTATATACGTAAAATTTACTCATCACTATTTAAAAACCTTCCGAAAATGTGGGGAGCGTTGCACTTTAAGAAACAGTCTACTAACCTTAGAAGGTCATGTTGACGCATTTTCCTTTTCTATGTACGTAAGTTGTACGCATGGTTAGTGTTCTAGGGTTAAATTAAATTAACCTCAAAATTACTTATGTATATGTATACATAACTTAATTACTTATGTATATATAGTAAGAACTAGAACAATCAAATCTTTAAGCTAAAATAACAAAAATCGCACATTTATACTTCAGATTGTCAAAAGTTGGGGTTGTCGGAATTTGAATCAATCTCACCTAAATCAGGATCTGTCGACACAGTTGAGCCATATGAAGGCAAGCCTCTGTAAAAATTATGAAATACAGGGGGAATAAACTGTAGTAGGGACAACAGATCCCCCTTCTTTTCTTTGGATATCGGCAATAAGGTGTTTCTAATTTGTGGGACGTTGCCGCCATCATCTAGCCATTTTACGGATATTTTCTGCCGCAAGAAGGACACCTCTTGGTATGGTTCATAATCGTCTAAGCTGGTTTTGAATTGGATGATACCAAACTGTTTGCGGTACTTTAAACAGCGTACCGGTTGCCACTTAAAATTGTTTTGTGCAACATCTTTTTTTCTTTTAACTACCTTTCAATATATGTGAGAATTCTAAAAAGTCCTCCTACATCATCTCAATAACGGAAAATCCAGGACCGCACGATCGGACCAGCTGATACCAATCATGGGGGTGGCTTATCAATGTACTACTTTTTTTTTCCTCTCAATCACAGCATGATCACCATCCACTTCCATATGAGAGTGTCCAGGCAACATGAATTTATGTTCTATTGTAGAAATGTGTGGACACTTTTGCAAAACTAAGGTTAACATTGCGCTACGTAGGTGTTGTTACCAGGATCGTTGACGGGAATGAAACAGTGGTGTAATATTCAACAATAAGAATATGTTTGCTGTAATTTACAGATGGAATATAATAATAATAATCGTATCGTAAATAAAAGTCTTCGTGCAGGTTCCGGACGGAATGAATCCCAGGTGAACGGTGAACATGACGGGCCTCTTGAGGTACCTGGAATTTCTTCCCTAACCCTCTTCATCGGACCTAAAACAAACGGAAAATATATTACAAAATTTTCACTAATTAATAGTGACATCGGAAGTGGAATTGGGAAGGACAGTCGGACTCCTGGATCGTCAGACGAGAAGCAGCCTTGGCCGTTTGTGGCGAAGGTGTTCAACGTCGTAATCCGTTAATCCCGCTAGGAGGGGATTGGGGTGGTTTTCGAGCCGCGTAAACTCGGTACTGGCCTTGTCACGAATGAACTCCTCGATGGTCGCCATCTGGGAATCATTGTGCAGTGTCGCATTACTGACAAACCAAGGAGCATCGAATGCCATCCTTAGGACCTTGTTCTGAACCACTTGGAGTTTTTGCACGTGCGAGTGCGCGGCGTAACCCCAGACTGAAGAAGCGTATGTCATCGCAGGTCTGATAACCGCTTTGTAGAGTCGAATCTTCCGAGAGGATCCAACTTACTTCGGCGATTTATCAGAGCGTACAGATTGGCCAGAGCTGCCTTCGCCCGGTTCGCCATCGACTCGATGTGACTTTTCCAAGTTAGTTTAGAGTCCAGAATGACACCCAAATACTTGGCTTCAGAACGCCAGGGGAGCTCGTCCCCTTGCAGTACCATCGCATCGGGGGGTCTCTGTCTACGCCGAGTAAAAAGTATTGCGGTACTTTTATCAGCGTTGATTTTGACCCGCCACTTTGCGAAGTAGTCTAGCAGTTCGTCCGATGCTGCCTGCAGTCTACGAGCGGCGACCTCGGGGGACCAAGATCTGCTGTAGATGCACACATCGTCGGCGTACATCGCTAACTGAGTGCCCTCACAACGGGGTAGGTCGCTCACAAAGATACAAAAGAGTATCGGTGAAAGCAACGACCCCTGAGGGACGCCTGCAGTTAGGATTCGCTCTCTCGAACGCGTACCTTTCAATTTGATGCGCGCCTTTCTACCGTCAAGGTAGGAAATGAATCCCAGTCGGATTTCTCCCCTTTATATAGGGCGACCGGTTGGTTGCCCCTTCAGCGCTGACCAATCGGGAGTAGGTGGGCGTGGCCGGCCGGTCGGCGTACAAAGGCGGTATGGGTGACAGTGTTTTTGTTCTGTCCTCCGCAAGTGTCCGAATATAGTATAACTTTTTTAATACAAGCAGGTAGATTTTTTAGCATAACGAACGGTTTTGATACGAGCCAGAGCTCAGCTGTATACCTTCAACGTCGAGCGCTGAAGAGAACAACATCACAGAGAGAAGATCGAAGATTTCTTCCAGTCCTGTAGCGTCAGCGTAGGAGGGAGGGAGGATTCGAATTCTACTGGGTGCCCTTGAGAGAGCGACAACAAGGCGATAGAAGTTTCTTTCGAAACTAAGAGCACCCTTTTTAGGGTTGGGTTGGGTTTTCCAAACCGTTTTAAGGTGGCAGAAATGCCTCTTAAAATGGAGAAGAAAACTTTATCCGCATCGTGTGGAGACTTTCGTTTGTTAGCAAGCGTGGTCGACACCCACATCATCGATAAGAACGGGACATTGAGACCCGTTCCACCAAGCCGTCAGCCTTCCCCGTTGAAAGCGGCGACTAAATCTGCGCGTAAGGTCAGACCCGCCATCCCCGTGAAGGCGGCAACCAACGCTACCCCCGTTCTTGGCAAGACTGCCTCCCCTGTGGCGGCCGCAGCCAAATCATCAGGCCGCACCGCCTCCCTCGTGAAGGCGGCGACCAAGAAACCAGTTATTGGCAGAACTGCCTCCCCAGCGGAGGCGGCAGTCAAGGCAGGTATACCAGGCCGTACTGCTTCCTTAGAGGATGCGACGACCAGCGCGGCAGGCCGCACCGCCTCCCCTGAGCAGGTGGCGACCAAATGCACACGTAAGGTTAGTACCGCCATCCCCGAGAAGGTGACAACCGAAACAACCCCCGTTTTTGGCAGCACTGCCTCCCCAGTGGAGGCGAAAGCCATAGCACCATCAGGCCGTACTGCTTCCCTCGAGGATGCGACGACCAGCGCGGCAGGCCGCACCGCCTCCCTCGGGGAGGCGGCGACCACTTCCACTACGAGGTCATTCGCCGAGCCGTTGGCTTCCATCCCGGCGGGTAAAATGGATGTCGACGTGGCAGTCGGTCCATCCAACGGGAAAAGGAAGGCCAGCAGCGACCTGGAGGACGAGTACTCGGAGGCCGTTCGTCCTCGATTGGAACACGTTTCAACGAATGTGCAACGGTGCACCTCGTTGCGTGAAGTGCGCTGGTGACCATCCGACGGCTTCCTGTGCCAAAGCAAAGGATGCGCCCGCCAAGTGCGTCCTTTGCGGTGGCCCTCATACCGCCAACTACAAAGGGTGCCCAAAACACCCGAAGGCGGCGGAAACGAGGGCGCCGGCGGCAGCCCCAAAGGTCAAAGCGACCGTTCCCCCGAAGGACCTATTCAGGCGCAAAAGGGGAACAAAAAGGCTCCAGTAGTCGCGGCGAAACCCGTGAAAGCGGTTAGTAGTCAGGCGAAAAAGCCGAAAGGCAACGCTAACGTTGCCCCCAAAGCGAACGCTCCAGCTACCAAGGTAGTTCGGAAAGAGGTCGCGGCGCCCAAAGCTAAGCTCAACAAGCCGAAGCGAAAGGCGACCGACGACCCCCCGAAGCTCTCGAGGTCGCAGAGGAGGCGTCACAATAGGAGGCTTCGTAAAAGCGGGTCGATCGCGGTTGAACCCCCAACCGACCCCCTCGTCAGCATACTGGCGACGATGAGCGAGGTCATCCAAATCGACAAATCCGATAGGGACGCACGAGTTAAGTTGTGCGTCCAAATCATGTCCGAGATGATGAAACTCTTATGATGACTCATCGAAGACCGAGAGTACCGCATTCGCTTGAGTTGGCTTATTGGAACGCCAACGGCCTTGTCTGTAAACAGAATGAACTTCGCGAGTTCGCCGAAAGGTACGACCTTGACGCGATACTCATTAGCGAAACCCATCTGCGAGCGGGCGACAGGCCACGGCTGCCCAATTATCGCTTCTATCGAAACGATAGAGTTGGAGCAAGAGGCGGNTTCAGTCTTTGTGAGTTTAAACCAAAGAAAAAATTTATTCGAAGTTGAGTTGGATTTATTGTTCATGGAAAACGTCTTCGTCGAGCTGCGCATGGTCGTCACCTTCCGTTGTGGTGGAGTTAGAAGCGGGTAGGGGGGGGCTTGCTTCTCAACGTTTTTACTTACCCGGCTCGCTAATGGTATTATCTATCAAGAAGGTTACAAGATCAATGTATCGTGCATAATAATAATAAAGGATGTTGGTAAACCGAAGCCCGCTCATATAATTGAATTTGTAAGAAAAAAGTAGCATAACATTAAGGTTTTTATTATTTTTTTACTATTTATTATGTAATTAAAATGTTTATTAATACTTTTATTGGGTTGATTGGGGGGAAAAATTAAATTGTCTTAAATTGTGTTATTATTATTTTCCGGAATATTCCCAAGCTCCTGCGCACGCGCATTCAAGAGTTGTGAAGCGCGCCTTTATGCGTTCAACGCGCCATCTTTCAGAAACGCCGATTCTAGACAGGAAGTTGTCGCACCTCCGCACCTCCGTGACGTCATCCGCCCAATGGAAAAGGATAGGGAGGGGTGTCAACCAAAGGCTTGGGGGAAAAAATAGGTTGGTAACCAGACCTGGTGATTTTTAAAAAAGTAACAGTCTACCTGGTTGGTAGTGGTTTAGTTCCACTACCAACCACTAGGTGGCGCGTTACTTTTTTAAAAAAGGTAACAGTCTACCTTGTTGGTAATGGTTTAGTTCCACTACCAGCCACTAGGTGGCGCGTTACTTTTTAAAAAAGTCGCCAGATCTAGTTACTTTTCCAATACCAACCTATTTTTTTTTCACCTCAGCCGTAGGTTGGTACCCTTTCCTATCCTTTTACATTGGATTGATGACGTCACGAAGGTGCGGGGGTGCAATTTCCGGTCTAGAATCGGCGTTTCTATACTACTTGTTTTAAACGGTCTAAATTGTTATTAAAATTTTCAGTGTACACTTTTTGTTTTACATAACCTCAAAAATAAAAATCCATAATAAATAAATCCGGACTTCTTGGCGACTATGGTTGCGGATCATATCTACCAATCCATTTTTTTCGAAATAACGTATTTAAATAATTTCTAATTAAAATGGTCGAATGTAGGCCGTAATGTTTTTATGTTTTTTAAAAAAGTTCTGTCTTTCAAAATTTTGTACCCAAGCCACAAACAATAATCTAAACGTTTTGCTTCAGCACCTAGTTCGATAGTGTGGTTAAATTTTGGTTTATAATACGACACCTTACCATAATCCATTGCGTTCGTTACTGCAGCAATCGACCCCGCATCATGTTCATCTAAAAGCTTTTTTTCCTTCCTTTTATTTTCCACATTGCCCGTTTCCGAAAATTTTTTAACAACTCTCTTAATTGTTTTTTTATCTACTAAAAATCCAAATTTTTCCTCAAATTGCCTTAAAACTGCATTGTAACTAATGTTCCCCAATCCATAGCACTGCACTATAAANAAAGGCAACGCTAACGTTGCCCCCAAAGCGAACGCTCCAGCTACCAAGGTAGTTCGGAAAGAGGTCGCGGCGCCCAAAGCTAAGCTCAACGAGCCGAAGCAAAAGGCGACCGACGACCCCCCGAAGCTGTCGAGGTCGCAGAGGAGGCGTCACAATAGGAGGCTTCGTAAAAGCGGGTCGATCGCGGTGGCTGAAACACCATTCCCGGTCAATGTTGCGGCACAGGCGGCGGTTGAACCCCCAACCGACCCCCTCGTCAACATACTGGCGATGATGAGCGAGGTCATCCAAATCGACAAATCCGATAGGGACGCACGAGTTAAGTTGTGCGTCCAAATCATGTCCGAGATGATGAAACTCTTATGATGACTCATCGAAGACCGAGAGTACCGCATTCGCTTGAGTTGGCTTATTGGAACGCCAACGGCCTTGTCTGTAAACAGAATGAACTTCGCGAGTTCGCCGAAAGGTACGACCTTGACGCGATACTCATTTGCGAAACCCATCTGCGAGCGGGCGACAGGCCACGGCTGCCCAATTATCGCTTCTATCGAAACAATAGAGTTGGAGCAAGAGGCGGCGGGACAGCCATCTTTGTAAGGACCAGTTTGGATCATTACGAAGATCTGACTCCCCCTCTTCAACATCTCGAAGCTACTGCGATTGTGGTACGAACACTATCGGGGTGCGTCCGCTTGATCGCCGCCTACAATCCGCCGAATCGGCGATCTAACGGGTGTCTTGGATACGGACAAAGGCGTGGTTATCGCCGGCGACCTAAACGCCAAACACCCATCGTGGAACAGTCGGATCGCAAACGCGAACGGTAAAATACTGCGGAGTTTTACCGACGAGACGGGCATTGTCACCGATGCCCCCGTCGGCCACACGTATTACCCGTCGAACGTATTACGCTCAACGAACTTAGTTCCGATCATCTCCCTGTGCTGCTGCAGCTAGGAGACGTCCCGGACGTTCGCGTCCCGGTTGAACGTTCCCCTGTATCGTGGAACTGACCGATCCACAACGCTCAGGAACTGGATGAGGCTGTTGGGCGACTCACGGTCGCAATCGAGGATTCTCTTCGATACGCGACCAACACGATTCCCGTAAAGGACCATCGATGGGTGCTTCCGGCGCACATCAGGGAACTTATGCGGGAGCGTGATCGCGTCAGGCGGACTTATCAGCGCAATTGGGATCCCGATCTCAAGCGTCGCTATAACCGTCTGCGCGGTGATGTGAGAAGGGAGCTCGCGGAGTTCCGATACGCGTCTTTCGACGCCAAACTCGACGCCCTGACTCTCACTCTCGAAGAGAAAGCAGAGGCTCATGCCGATAACTTCGAAAACCAGTGCAGCCCGCTATGCGACGATGACGAAGATGAAGATTTCATCGATCGAGTCGAACGCGTAGTGAGCAGGTGGCTGGCCGTAGAAGATCGTTGGCACATCGAGCACGCTTCACCGGCCGAGGTGAAAGAGGCAATCGCGAGATGTAAGTCGAAGAAGGCCTCGGGACCGGACGGGATAGGAAACGCTGCTTTAAAGGCCTTGCCTTTAAAAGCGGTCGTTTCGCTGACGGGATCATCAATGCGACGTTCCGGCTGCGGCATTTCCCTACCAAGTGGAAATGCGCGGACGTCGTCGTGTTACCGAAACCCGGGGCGAACCCAGGGGGATGAAGGTAGTATCTAAAAGTCGGCAACGCCTACGTCACATTCATGCCATGCATGCGCAAATGCCAATTCCCCCAGGTATAGGTTTGACAACACCGCAATTTTCAAATATCACACGTTTTCGCACCGTTTACTGGCAATTTACCCCCACTTCTGCGTGGTCTGTCATAAACACGCTGACGCGCCACCATTATGACAGAATCGAAAAGAAATAACCGTTGTTGTTTGAGGTTAAGTCATATTAGTTTTAAGGTAAAATATTCTTTTGATTAATTTCGTATTAATTTTTTTGCTTACTGCATTGTAATCTCTTGTATTGTCATGTCTAATCTCGCCGTATCACCCTTGTCTAGAAAGAAGTGGTCCTGTAAACACCCTTCCTTAAAAGTTTGTTAAAATTGTTGTTTTTATTGAAAATATGTATATTTTTAGATTATTTTTGTTATATCTGCTGTTACTATCAATAAAAAAGCAGTTCACTTTTAAATTTGTGTTTTATTTCTTATTTTTTAAACGAAAAAAAAAATAACAGTTGACTAGTCTAAATTCCGCGCCTAGTTGTGCCATGTAAGAGTGGGGGTAAAATGTATTGCTCTGATTTTAACATGTAGTTGGCGCTTCTTCTATATATCTGTTCTGTGGGCGAACCTAACGTTCCCGCAAAGCTAGTTTGCTATCAGTTTGCTTTCTTGTCTCGGCAAGGTATGCGAGAGGATCGTCCAAACGAGGCTACAAAGATCAGTTCAAGATCTTAAGCTCGTTCAGGACGAACAGTTTGGTTTCCGACCCAAACATTCGACCGTACACCAGGTACTACGACTTGTCGAATACATAACCGAAGGCTTCAATCGAAAGCAAAGCACTTGTGCGGCGCTTTTCGATGTTGCCAAGGCGTTCGACAAAGTATGGCATGAAGGACTTTTGTTCAAAATGCTAGAAGCGGGCGTGCCCCTGGCGTTGGTTCAATTGATCGCATCCTATCTTGGCGGTAGGAAGGCGCGCATCAAATTGACCGGTACGCGTTCGACAGAGCATTCTTCCCTGGCATTCCGAAACCAGGTATTTGGGTGTCATTCTGGACTCTAAACTAACTTGGAAAAGTCACATCGAGGCCATGGCGAACCGGGCGAAGGTAGCTCTGGTCAATCTGTACGCTCTGATAAATCGCCGAAGTAAGTTGGATCCTCTCCGGAAGATTCGACTTTACAAAGCGGTTATCAAACCTGCGATAACGCTTCTTCAGTCTGGGGTTACGCCGCGCACTCGCACCTGCAAAAACTCCAAGTGGTTCAGAACAAGATCCTAAGGATGACATTCGATGCTCCTTGGTTTGTCAGTAATGCGACAGTGCACAATGATTCTCAGATGGTGACCATCGAGGAATTCATTTGGAACAAGCCAGTACCGAGTTTAGGCGGCTCGAAGACCACCCAAATCCCCTCCTAGCGGGATTAACGGATTACGACGTTGAACACCTTCGCCAAAAACGGCCAAGGCTGCTTCTCGTCTGACGATCCGGGAACCCGACTGTCGTTTCCAAATCCACTTCCGATATCGCTAATTTAGCGAATATTAACTAATATATTTTCCGTCTGTTTTAGATCCGATGAAG